CAGCGGGCGGCAGGAGAGGTCTGCGCACCATGTGGGACCCTCCTCCTGTGGCAGGGGAGCAGCCGGGGATCGAACCAGTGCTACAGAGGCTGCGGGCAGCTTCGCAACCCAGCGCTCAACCGCTGCGCCACCGGGGAGGCCCAGCAATTTATTTTTAATGGTCATGTGTTTTGTTTGTTTTTTTTCTTTCTTTTTTTAAATTTTATTTTATATGTTTTTACATCATTTCTCATTTTTCACAATATGTGTCTTTTCATATTGGTTATATTCCCCATAAAATTCCCACCTCCCTTACTTTGACCCTAATCCCTCTTACCCCTCATCCCCATAGTATATCTCTGGTTTAGAGTTGCTTGTTGCTTGTTGATTTTGATTTTTACTTTATTATAATTAGTCTTTTTCCTGGTCCCTCATTTAGGTTTTCTAAATTCTTGCTATGAGTGAGACCATCCAGTGTTTTTCCTTTTCTTTCTGGCTTATTTCGCTGAGCTTGATCTCATCCAGCTCCATCCATGTTGCTGCAAATTGCATGACTATGTTTTTTGATAGCTCAGTAACATTTCATTGTGTATATGTACCACATCTTCTTGATCCTGTCATCTATTTTTGGCTATTTTGGTTGTTTCCATAGCTTAGCTATTGTAAATAGTGCTGCTATAAATATAGGGGTACAGGTTCCCTTTTGATTTAATATTTCTGTGTCCGTTGGGTAAATACCTAGGAGTGGAATTGCTGGATCATATGGAAGTTCTATCTTTAGCAGGCTGAGGAATCTCCACACAGCTCTCCATAGTGGTTGGACCAGTTTGCACTCCCACCAGCAGTGCAGGAGAGTTCCTTTTTCTCCGCAACCTCGCCAACATTTGTTGTAGCTAGTTTTTTAATATGTGCCAATCTCACTGGTGTAAGATGGTATCTCATGGTAGTTTTGATTTGCATTTCCCTGATTACAAGTGATGCTGAACATTTTTTCATATGCCTGTTGGCCATTTGCTTTTCCTCTTTGGAGAAGTTCCTTTGTAGCTCTTCTGCCCATTTTTTGACTGGATTATTTTCTTTGTTTTAGTTGAGTCTCTTCAGCTCTTTTTAGATTTTTGGGACTACATCAAATTAAAGAGCTTCTGTTCAGCAAAAGAGACAGTAACCCAAACAAAGAGACACCCCACCAACTGGGAGAAAATTTTTGCACACAACACTAATGATAAAGGACTGATCACAAAAAAACTACGAAGGAGCAATTTTTTGTCTTGGAAACCGGACACACAAATTGTCTGGGGCACATGTGATGTGCATCCATAATGGCTGATGGCGACCTGGGTTCAAATTGCAGGTTTGTTGCAGTTCTGCAGGGCTGACTGAACTGGAGGGGTGAGTGAGGGGGCACTTTCACACATCATGACAACAAATAACACCCAACATTTGTCTGGTTTTGGACTTTAGGGCACACTGAAGACCTTTATTTCAAAAGATTAAATAAGGATCATTTCCTTTAATCCCAATAAAATAGTCAACTTGACTAATACATCCCACTCTTTGTACAGCATTTTCCTTTGTGGTTGAATTAACCTTATTTATAACATTGTATGGGTTTCAGGTGTGCGGATGTGTATATCAACATCACATATACTGTAAATCATTTCCTCGAGGAAACTTTTCCCTAATTGCTTCTATTTTGTCCTCTTCAAAACTTAAGGTGATCAGAGGAGGCTTGCTCTCAAGATGTTCAGAGCTAGCCTCCCAAAAAGACCACGTTTTTAAGCAGATGGTTGCCAAATAAGGTCAATGGAGACCTAAAAGCATAAGTGAACAAGGTACCACCTCATTGACTACCAAGAAGAATGAAAATTTGGGGTGTTACCCAGGCTAAAGGTTCACTCCAGAAATAACATTTCTATCAGAGAAATCTTTCTCCATATCAGGGCAAAGTGTAATCAGAGAGCACAGGTTGATGTCAGATGTCAGATGTGTTCACCCTCTCGTTCCATGAAGTCCTGGGTTCCCACCCCTTTCCTTAGCTCAGGATGTCTACCCTCCAATTCCACAATGAAAACAGAGTCCTTTTCTCTGTGTAGATCACCCAAATGTATACAATTAAATGGATCCTTTCCTTAGCTCATTGGTCCGATGTTGTTTTCATGACTTGTTCAGCCCAAAAAGAACCTAGAAAAGAAAAGGAAATCACCCCCACTTCACAAAACGTATCTGCATGGGTCGCAGTGTAAAATAATGCAATGCACTAGACTACTGGAGGATGCCCATGACCATCGTCCATCATTTATGATTCAATGGCATCAGAAGGGAGTAGGCAGAGAAATAGTCACAAATTTGCATATCATGAGAATCAAGGAAGGGAGTTTTGTGTGGAGCAAATAGGCCAAAAGTACCCTCACGTCAGCTCTGTTCCTGCTAGAGAAAGGACAGTTGCCTGCCTTCCCAGTGGATAATCTGAGAGACCTACCCTAGACACGTGCTTGATAGGTGCTGTTCAAATGATTTTAGCAAGGCAAGGAAAAGGAATTGCTTATAAGCAGGAGAGACTCCAGATGCCTTTTGCTGCTCATTTTATTCCTAGAGCTTATTTCCTGCAACAGGCATTACGTTATCATCTAAAGAAAGGGGTGAGCTCCCTTGAGGTTAAATCTGGGCCCCCTTGAAAAAAATATGACTTTGACCCCATTTGGATGATAGTGAAAACTGGACAAATGCATTATTTTCTCTACTTAGTGTTGGCAGAATTTGACTCATGTTGAAATATGTGATTCTCTAAAGTGTGGGTCAAGATCAGCCTAATGAGAAACTGTGGAAGAAAAGGTTTTCACAAGAATACACATTGGATACATAATGCTTAGGCTCAGACACAATGCATGACAAAAGGACAACAACTGGTGTACCCCAAGCAGGGAGTGCCAGGTGGAGCAACACTTATGCGGTCTAAGTGTCTTGAGGTCTCTGGGCAGGGGACACGGGGTCCCTGATCCTCCTCCTGAGCTGGCAGCTGGCTGAGTCCACCCTCTGTGAAGGACCTGCCAATGGAGGATGCTCAGGCACCCAGAGAAGGTTCATGAGGTTGCGCCAGGTCTGTGAGCAGGCTCTGGGTGGAGGGCTGCATGTGGGAGCCTCTGCCTGGGGTCTCCGTGCAGGCCTGGGACAGGGCTTGGTGTATGTCTGCAAGGGTCTGTGTGTGGGTGTCTGCCCAGGAGGGGCCCAGCACAGGCTTCAGGGAGAGACTGGCCAGAGCTGGTCTGTGTCCTATCTGCCCAGTACCGTGGGTCCAGATCCCACTTGAGGGTCACTGACAGGTGCTGGGGGCAGGCTGATCCCCCTAATGGGATGAGGAAACTCTTGGAGGGGACCCCAAGTGAGGAGTGATGCCCACGCTGGGCCTACTGCCCCATGCATGTGACACTGCAGGAATGTTCTATGTGTTTTTAGCATCCAGGCTCAGGGGCAGTTAGGAGGCAGCTGGGCCAGTGTAGCAGCAGCTCAGAGTCACCCTCACCAGCGCCCATTTGGACAGGTGCCTCAGGCCTGTTGTGACAGGTCCTGTCCGAGGGTCTCTTTCTACATGAGTCCCAGAGAGACATGCCATGAAAGGCCATCCCCTCAGCCACTGAGGCCTCTCCTGTCCTCTGGGAGCCGTCCTTGGTGGGGAGTGAGACCCGTGAGTCCTTCCTGAGCTCCCCAGTCCCTTTCAGATTTCCTAGATGTCCTTGAGAGGGTGTGACCCTTCCCTGCTTGAGCGCTCTGATCCTCTGGGAACCTCACCTCCTCTGAGGAGCTGCAGGTGGCTCGTCGGATCTGGGCTCTGGTGTTGGGCTGTCTGGGGAACCTGGGGGGCCATGCTGGTTGCTGACCCCTAATGACTCTTTCTAACTCTGCTTGTAGCAGGCAGTGGGATGACAACTGGGTCTTGCAACAAGTTCTCTCTCTTCCCATTGTTTTTATCAGTAGGATGATGTGAAATCCTAGGGTGCACCGAGGGCCCAAGATGAGGACAGGCAAGCCCCACAGTGGTCAGGTTCCCTCCACGGTGCCATCCCACCCAAGTCAGAGCAGACACTAAGAAGAGGGAACACTGCATCTCAGGGGTCCAAAAGTGTATTGTGATAAATTTTGGGATGTTAAAACAACTTTAATATACAGATGTGCTCACATGTGTAACCACTGTACTTCTGGGGGAAGCATTTTCATTGGGAAAGCTGGGAGAAATGTGATGTTGATGGACATAGTGCCTTGGGCAGTGGGGGTGGTGGCACAAGGCCCTGGCACCCTGGAGCTGTGCTGGCAGCGTCTGCTGGGGGCCTGGGTCCCTGCATGGTACCTCCATTTTCTGCTCCACTCACCAATCTTAGGGCATCTGTGGCCTGAGTGTTGTCCACTGTTGCCATGCTCTGGGAGGAGTCAGGTGAGGTGCGACCCTCACTCTCCTCCCTGGGTCCTCTGTGGCCATTACTGAACTCGGGCTTGCCTCTCGGCAGCCTCCCTCAACCCCTAGGTCATTCCGTCTGCGCCAGAGCCTGCCCACCCCGGTATGTGAAGGCCTGAGAAAGGACCATTCTTTCCTGCCCAGTAGCAGGGGCCGCTGAGACCCCGTGGCCACCACCAAGGGTCCCTGCCCGAGCCTTCTGGGAGGCCTCACCGGCAGGTGACGGGGCTGGGAGGGAGCCACCCAGGTGGGGGTGAGGACTGACATGTATTATCAAGTTCTCCCTCGGTGGGTGGGACTCCCAAGGGCCTGACCAACTTGCCTTTCGAGCCAGCCCCCAATACACAGGAGTCTGGCAGGGAAAAGCCAGATTGCGGAAAGGGTGAGGGTCGAAAACTTTCCACCTGAAAAGACTGAGGAACTTGAGTATTTTGAGGGCAAATACCACCCGTGCCTCACCCAAAGCCTGCTGGTATGTTCTTACAGGAGAGTTCGGGTGAGTGGGCAAATCACAGACCAACCCTGGAGGCGTTCTTGTTACATACCTCCCCAGTGAGGAGACCAAGGTCCGCCCAAGCCCCTTGCTCCTTACAAGCCCCGGACTCTCTGGGCAGGTACAAGGCATGGCTGGTCCCCAGCTTGGAGAGATGACCACCCCGGGGGACCTGACCTTCTGGAATCTGCCTGAACTTCCTGACCAAACGGGCTTGGAGGGGTCTTCTGGGGGCACCTGGGCAAGGGCCTCATTACCCTTCTTTTGACAATGACCGTCAGGCTTGGGATTCCCAAAAGTCCTGGGAGCTTTAGGGGGTTACTTTGCTGGTGGATTCTATGATGTTTTTATGCACAGGAGCTGAAGTCCCGATTTCTAGCTGCTTCTGCAAGTGGTGACATTGCACGTTTGAATTGCCATTGGTATGAAGAAGGGTGAAATATTACGGGCAGCAAGGCTAGATACCCCACAGTAGCCACTCTGGGCTGGTTGTGAAGTTGGTAGGATTGGAGAGGAGGGTGTGGGGAGGGCCTGGGTCTCCACATGAGCCTGAGGTGCAGCCTATGATTGGGTTCCAGAAAGAGTTAAGTGTTGGGGTTAGAACACAGGGAACAGGAGCAAGGGCGGGGGCAGTGAAATATCTGAAGCTCCTCCTGTTTCTTCTTTAATTTGCACAGGTAAAACATTAGGGTGTTGTCCCACCAGGACAGAGGAAAGGTACTCTGGGGATCCAGAGACCCTGACAGGGGATTTGAGGGACTCATGGTGTAGATCCAGGAGATGCCAAAGGAGCTGACCACATTTCCTCTGTAAGGGCCCCCAAAATCTCAGGACACGACTTTCTAGCACCCAGCAGCTGCTCTGATCTCTCTTTCATGCTCCAGAATGGTGGGCCACTTATGACATCCTTTATGTCATCCAGTGACTGGAATATATTCCCCCCAAAATTTAGGTGACTGTCTGACTCCTCTGCCTCTTTTCTCACCTTCCAAACTTTCACCTGCACTCTCTTGTGAATTAGCACCTCCAACTTCTGAAGGTCAGGGCTGATGAATGTGGCACTACCAGCCTCCACCTGGTGGTTTCTAGTGTCTCCCCAGAATGTGGCCCCTGGTGGGGGGCTGTGAAGGCACCCTCTCAGGGACTCAGGATGTGATGAGTCTGAAAGTCTCAAGGCTTTGACAGCCCTCGAATCCCACCAGGACAGGGATAAATGAGGACGGGTTGAGCGTCCTAAGCCTGTGATGGTTCGCACGGGAGAAGGTGGCCAAGGGGCGTGTGGACAAATGTATGGGGCAGTGCCCATTGGCAGTGCCACTGAGTCACAAGGAGGAAGAGTCAGGCTGGAGTCTGGAGATGGGCAGCCATCAGAGGCCATCAGAGATGGAGGCCAAGCCTCTGAACCAGGGGACACTGAGGAGTGAGGTGAAGAAGCAGGTGGATGGGGCCAAAGGCTCTCCAGGGTAAGGGGAGTGTCTGATGGCTCTGAGGCAGTCAGGTATGACTCTGAACTATCAGAGACTGATGAAAACATGGATCCTGGTGAGTGGGTGGAGGCCAGAGGTAAGGAGTGCTTGGTCGGAGAAGCAGGCAGGGATACAGCAGGAGTAGCATCTTCCACACACTTCCCTCGAGGATTGTGGGTTCTGGCAGGTCCTGCATTCCACACATCACCCAAGGGGTCTTCACATAAGGGGTGATGGCTGCTGCCATTTTCAGGATGAATCCTGAGGTGGCTGCACAAGACAGGAGGCACAAGCTGTGGCCAAGAGCAGAGGGACCGCGAGGCCCAGACAGGATAGGCAGGTAGGCAGCCCCAACTAAGGCTCCCCCTGCTGCCCCTGGATGACCTCACAATGCCACTGCTCTGGCATCCCTGGGTTTTAACTGTACTCTTTCCCCAGAGTTCACTGTTTCATATTAACCCCAGAAGGCTGTCACCCTGGGTCCCACCCAGGCCTCTGGGAGAAAGCAGGAGAGAAGGAAGGATTCTTTACCGTTGCAGAAGTAAAATAGGCTCTCGAGCCTCTTCCAGTTCTTGTAGGAAATCTTGGCAAGCTGGAAATCAGGACAACAGGTCCCATGGTGAAGGCAAGCACCCAGAGACCTGACAGGAAGCTGAGGATCTATCCCACTAGGAGATCTTGGGGGGATTTGAGTCTAGAGTCCAAGGCCACCTGATGCCTGACACTCAAGTCACGTTTCAGGTTGGGGCGCCCTGTCATTTACAAGGTCATTGCAACCCTGAGGCCTCCCAGAGGAATCTGAGCAGGTTAAACTACTTGTCTCCAGCTGGACCTGGAGGACCTGCGTCCCTGGGCACCCATTGCTGGTCCACTCCTGCCATGTGTCCCTGCCTGCAGCACACATTTCCTAGCCTGTCTCGGCCTGGAACCTGGGATCTATCAGGGCTCCATCTCATCCCAGGAGCCTCCCTCATGGTTCTTTACTTAACGGATGATCTCTAGCATCCTTGGAACTGCGAGCCAGGACTCGGAGTCAGGAGAAATGGGGTGACACTCAGTCAGGCTGACCTACAGCCACTCACCTTTCAAAACTCGATGTTTCTTTCTGCTTCTATCCCTCCCTTTCAGCTCCTTTTGATGCTGAGAAATGAGAATAAAAGAGAGATGGGATCCATCTCTCACCGTCCTCTCTAGCTGCAGACAGTCAGTACACATGAACGTGACTTTCCACATTGCTTCTCCCTCTCCTCATTTCTAAAGTGTTCCTTCGTGAAAGATAAAAGGATCTTCTGTGTCAGACCCACCGTAGGTCTCTCCTGCTCTACCCAAGAAACACAAATCCTCAGACCTCCAGGTGCTGAGCTCCCTCAGGTCAGGTAGGACCTACTTCCTCAGACCAGTGCTCTACTCTGGCCTGCTCAGAGGCTCTAGGGTCTCTGCATGCCCCCTACCCCCATCAACCTCAGCTGAGGAGAAGCTGGCCCCACATACTGGCCACAACAAGGCACCTGGGGGACAGTGCTCGGGAGCCTGACCACCCCCAGAGGTCACTCCACTGAGGCACCCCATCCCTGGGCGCCATTTGGGACTTTGCCCCGGAATCTCTACTGACCTGGTCCCATGGTCTGACATCTTCAGAGAGAAATCCTAGTGCCCACTCACACCCCTTCTGGCCTGGCTTGTCACCAGGATCACGAGGATCTGTTCTTTCCTGAGAAAAGATGATCAGTTCTCTCCCTTCCCAGGAGTCTCTCACATGACTGTGGACAGAAAAGAGAATCCTGTGGCACTGGGTCGGACCCAAGGGCTTCTTACCTTCCTGGAGTTTCTGTCCCTCTGAGGTGGTGGTAAGGATGGAGTACGGCGGAGGCAGGCAAGTAGCAGGAAGTAGAGCCCCCACCCACACAGGAAGATGAAGATGGTATCCGTCACCCAGCCACTGCAGCTGGAGCTCAGCCCACAAGCCACAGCGCTCTTCAGAGACAAGAGATAATTCTCCATGTTCTGAATTGCACAGCTGCTCTTGAGCAACTGAGCCCTGGGGGTGCACTTGGGGACTAAAAACCCAGGCCCTCATCACAGAGCTGGGACCTTGTCACAAAGGCTCCTGAGGACAAGGGGCTGAGAGTCAGAGGAGGAGGTGAAATCCCAGCCCCTCCCTTGGTTTGCTCCACCCTCTGCTGACCCTTCAGTGCAGCCCCTCACCCTGTTGAGAGTCCGTGGTCACCTCACTAGTAATTCCACCTGGAGCTCAGTTGTTCCTGGATCCTTTGCCATCGCTGCTTGAGCTTCAGCAATTTTATGTCTTTGGAAAATCTGGGGTTGCTCCTGGAAGTTTTACTTATGTCTCAGGGATTATACTCTCAGGATACTGTCTTAACTTTCCCCCATAATACATTTCATTGTCCCTCATAATGTCCTTTAATTGACACAAACACAGAATATACATTTCCTTTTTATTTATTTGTGAAATTTGAGAAAAAAATGTAAACTTTTATTATAGTGACTCTCCACTCTCTTTAACTAGAGAATAATTGAATAATTGCCCAAAACTTAGAAAGCTAAATACATAAAAAATTGAAATATTCAAACCTTTTCTCTCTCTCTCTCTCTCTCTCTATATATATATATATATATATTCATAATTTTCTAGAATTTTTGCTTCTGAAATTAATAAAAGTTAAACTGAAAATATTTCCAACACTCTGTACTCATAGACATATGTGGTTCCCCACCACACACACTCAAATACACATAATCCTCTAAAACATCCTGCATTTTCAAATAAGAATCAAGCATTTCAGTTCAAAAGGCCTCCACTTGTAAGTGGGACTGCAAGCAGCTCTTTGAATATCTCATCCTTCCCACCAAAGTTCCTGATTAGAAGTTTGATCATTTTTATTGTGGTCCCTCTGGATATGAAGAACTGTTTTACTCTTGCTATTTAAAAACTAACCCTTTGTTTTCCCACAGTTTGACTCTGAGACAAAAGGTAGATTTCTTTGTTTTTATCTTGCTAGAGGTAAACATTGTCTGTGGATTAATCATTTTCATCACATTTGTTAAGTTTCCAGCCAGTAATTCTATAGGTTTTGTTCTTTCTTTTCCTTCCTTTCTTTCTAACACTCTCATTCATATGCGTGGTGTGCCTAAGGCTGTCTCACAGGACAGTTTTCTTCAAACTCTTTTCTCTTTGTTCTTCAGAATGCTTAATTTCTATTACTCCACCTTCAAATCTGATGATTCTTTTTTCTGCATCTCAATGTGCTGTTGAACCCCTCCAACCAGTTTTTCATCTCTGTTGTTGTCATGTTCATTTCCAGATTCCCCCGCCACCCCTTCAATTCACACATGCCCACACCTTACCTCTCCAATTCTCCCATACCCTCCTCTCTCTCTCCTGCTCACTCAGGTAACCATTAGCTTCATCTTGATAAGTTCAAGATTTGTTCCAACTCTTCAGTACAAAACAAGTGTTTTGTGTATTTATATTCCACAGATAAGTGAAAGTATTTGATATCTGCCTTTCACTGTTTAACTTGTTTTACTCAACATAATCCCCTCAAGGTCCACTGATTTTTTTATCTTCAAATGCAAACATTTCATACTTTAAAGAAGATCTAACCTCAACCCTTCAAAAAATCATTGAACAATAAGGAAATTTCCATATCACATTTTATAAGGCCAACATTAGCTTGGTCTCAAAACCAAACAATGACAGTACAAATGGAAAACAGGTCAATATCTCTGATGAACACAGATGCAAAAGTCCCCGAGAGAATCTTGGGGGATTAATCCAGCAAAACATTAATTGAATCATTCATCATGACCAAGTAGATTTAACTTGGTTAAATCTTGATTAACAGAGATACAAAGTTGTTTCACATACATTATGCAAGCAATGACATTCACCACATCAACAAGAAAGAAAATTCAGATGGTCATTTCAATAGACACTAGAAAGCATTTCACAATTTCCACACCCATTTGTCAGTAAGTTTCTAATAAATTAAGAAGAAAAGGGGCATATCTCATCATAATAAATGCCATATAGAGAAACACACAACTTAGTGTTAAAAAACTGAAAGATTTGGGGTCTCCCTGGTGGTTCAGGGGTTAAAGACACAGCATATCAAGCTATCTCAGCCACTGAAACATGAGATTGATCCCAGGCTAGGGAACTAACCCACATGGTGCAGCAGACCTTTCCTATCTTGCCTGCTGCAACCCTCAGCAGTGTATTTTATTTTATTTTTTTTTAGAAAAATCACTTTATTTTTATTTTATATATTTTTACATCATTTTTCATTTTTGTACAATGTATGCATTTTCATCTTGGTTATAGTTTCTGTAAAATTTGCACCACCCTTGTTTTGATCCTACTCCCTTCTTCCCTGCCCCCACAGTGTGTCTCTGGTTTATAGTTGCTTGTTGATTTTGATTTTAACTTTATTATAATTAGTCTTTTTCCTGATCCCTTATTTGGGTTTTTTAAATTCCTGCTATGAGTGAGATCATCTGGTATTTCTCTTTTCTTTCTAGCTTATTTCACTGAGCATGTTCCCTTCCAGCTCAATCCATGTTGCTGCAAATGGCATGAGTTTATCTTTTTGATTACTCAGAAGTGTATTTTAGTAGATTGACCTGTTCTTCTCCCCACTCAGTCTCTGGTGAATCATCTCACCCACCACTCCACAGGCCTACAACCAGATCTTGTACGCATAAATAAATTTAAAAATACTGAAAGGTTTTCCCTAAGAATAGGAACAGGACAGGTATGCCGGGATATCTTCAGTGATATTCAACAAAGCATTGGCAGTCCAAGTCAGCGCAGTCAATCAATGGTTGGAAATAAAAGGAATCCAAATGAGAAAAGAAGTGAAACCAACAATATTTGCAGTCCTAAGATGCTCAGCATGTCCTTTTAGTCCCTGACTGCTTGGCATTCAAGGATTGCCAAAGCCTTGAGCTTGTCAGCATGGTCACATCCTGGGTCCCTTTGACAGCCCCTTCCCAGCCCCCCACCAGGTACACCATTCTGAGTAGACACTAGAAAACAACGACAGGTGGAGGCTGGTAGCCCCAGGTCAGCCAAAGGCAATGGAAGGAGACTGGGATGATACCGGTGCCCACCTGCCTGGCCTGCTTGGGCCTCCTGATCCCTCTGCTCTTGGCCATTGCTTGGGCCTCCTGTCTTGTGCAGCCACCTGAGGATGCTCCCTGAAAAGGGAAGCTGCCATCAGCCCTTAAGTCACGACCCCCTGAGCAACGTGTGGAAAGCAGCATCTGCCAGAGCCCACCAGCCTCCAGGGAAGTGTGTGGAAGTTGCTACTCCTGCCATGTCCCTGTCAACTTCTCCAACCAAGCACCCCTTATCTCTCGCCTCCACCCACTCACCAGGACCCATGTTTTCCTCAATTTCTGTTAGTGCAGAGTCATACCTGACTGCCTCTGAGCCATCAGACACTCCTCTTCCCCTGGAGAGCCTTTGCCCCCATTCACCTGCTCCTTCACCTCACTCCTCAGTATCCCCCAGTTCAGAGGACTAGCCTCCATGTCTGATGGCCTCTGCTGGCCACCCATCTCCAGGCTCCAAGCTGACTCTTCCTCAGTGTGACTTGCTGTCACTGCAAATGGGCACTGCCCTATACTCTTCTCCCCATATCCCTTGGACACAGTCTCCCATCTAAACCATCTCAGGCCCAGGATGCTCAACCCGTCCTTTTACATCCGTGTCCTGGTGGGATTCCAGAGTTTCCAAGGCCTTGAGCCTCTCAGAGTGGTCACATTCTGAGTCCCGGAGAGGGGACTTTCCAAGCACCCAACCAGTGGCCCCATTATGGGACAATACTAGAAACCACCAGGTGGAGGCTGGTAGCCCGACTTTCATCAGCCCTGACCCCCGGAAGCTACTGGACATGCTAATCCACATGAGAGTACAGCTGAAAGGAGAGAGAAGAAGCAGAAGGGTCAGACAGTCACCTAAATTCTTTGGGGAATATGCTCAAGTCGCTGGATGACACAGAGGATATCATGGGTGGCCCACCATTCTGGAGCATGAAAGACAGATCAGAGCAGCTGCTGGGTGCTAGAAAGCTGCCATGTTTTGAGATTTTGGGGGGCCACTTACAGAAAACCTTGGGATCTATGAATCTGCACAGTGAGTCCCTAATGGATTCGTCATGGTCTCTGGATCCCCAGAACAACTTCCCTCCATCCTGTTGGGACAAGTGTTTAATGTCTTACCTGGGCAAATTCATGAAGTAGAAGTAGCTTCACATCACTCTCTGGCCCAGCCCTTAGTCCAGTCCCCTGTGGCCCAACCCCAACACTAAACTCCTTCTGGAGCCCAATAATGGGCTGGATATAAGGCTCAGGTTGAAACTCAGCCCCACTTCTAATGCTCCTTTCCATTCCCACCAACTTCACGACCAATCTAGAGGGGCTGCTGTAGGGTATCTAGCCCTGTGGCTCAGAACAGATCATGATCCTTCATGCCAATGACAATACAAAACCTGCACTGTCACCTCTAGCAGAAGCTGCTAGGAAGCAGGAATTCAGCCTCTGTGCATAAATAATTGCAAGAAGCCACCAGCAAAGTAACCCCCAACATCTCCCAGCATTTTGGGGACTCCCAAGCTTGAAGGTCATTGTTAAAAAGAAAGATGAGTGCCTCCCCGGTGGTGCAGCAGTTGAGTGCTGGGTTGTGACGCTGCCCGCAGCCTCCACGGCGCCGGTTCGATCCCCGGCCACCTGGCGAGGGTCCCACATGGCGCACAGACTTCTCCTGCAGCCCACTACTCCCCTCAGCAGTGTACTTCGTCAGTCTGCCTGCTCTGCTCCGAGTGCCAGAGTCACTCTGGCTCTGGTGAATTCTCTAGGCCTCTCATGCTTCTGACTGTACCCAGTGCTTGTATAAATAAATAAATAAATCTTTAAAAAAAAAAAAAAAAAAAAAGAATGAGGCCCTTAAACAGTTGCCTGCAGATAACGCAAAAATCATCCTGCGAGCCCATTTCGTCAGGAAATTCTGGCAGTTTCAAAAGGGTCAGATCCCCCTCAATGGTCATTTCTCCAGGCTGGTGACCAACATGCCTTTTACCTTCCCAGACAGTCCACCCTCCCAAGGAGCCTGGACATGAGTCTCCTCCACCAGCGAGTTACACAACTGCCTGCCTGCAGCTGTCTGTGCACGGCCGGCTCACTGATATGAGCAGGAAGCACATACAAGAAGGGTTTGTGTGAGGCCCAGGAGGCACTGGCCCCTCAAAACTGAAGTTGCTAATCTCTTCAAGTTGAAAAAGTTTCCAGCCTCACCCCATCCACAGTCTGTCTTTTCTAGCTTAGCCTTCTGTGTATCAGGATGGGCTCCAAAGGCAAGTTAATCAAGCCCTGGTATTGAACCCCACACCATTTGGAGCAGAGCTTGATAATAAAATATCAGTTCCAACCTCGCTGAGGTGCCTTTCTTCCCAGTCTCCTTTCCTGCCAAGGAGGACTCCCAGAAAGCCCAGGCAGGGACCCCATGTGGTGATGACCACGGCACCTCAGAGACCTCATGTTATCATATGCAGCAGAGGGTCTGGCCTTCTTGGGCAGTGGAGCAGGGATGATCCTAAGTGCAGTCCCATCTGACTGTGGAACACAGCAAACAGAGTGGGAGGTGGGTGATGGAAGCAAAGTGGTTCTGAGTTGTTCATAGTTAGTGCAGTGAGGGAGGCGGCTGGCACATCATTGCATTCTACAAGCAGAGAAGGGGAGAGACATTGGGGGCCCATAACACCACAGACCCTTTAAGGTCCCCACAGACTACCACCAGCATCCAGAGCAGACTTGCCTCCTACAGCTCTCAAAATAGGTCAAGTTCCCAGAGAAGCAGAGCCCTAAAGCAGGGAAGTTTGATGTCCCTCTCAACAGACCTCTGGAAAATCTGAAGGGGGACAGGGGAGCACAGAAGGTACTCACAGCCTCATGCTTTCACTTAACACCAAAGACAGCTCCCTGGAGACAAGTTGAGACCTCATGTGTTGAGTTAATTTCTCAGAAAGTGGCAGAGGCCCAAATAGCACCATGACAGATTCCCACAGTGACCACCAACAGACTCAAAGGGAATCCTGCCAGAGATCTCTGACTCAGGTGTGCAGGTGCCTCTGACACAGTCCAACACTGAGACCCCTAAAGGCTCACACAGAGAACTCCCAAACAGAGCTTGCATGCAGAGACCTCACGGGTCACCGCTAAGTGCCTGAGTGTCCTCCATGTCTGGTCCTACACAGAGGTTGGACTTAGACAGCAAGCACAAGAAGAAGAGTATCAGTGACTGTGCACCCCTGAGACTCAGAACATGGCAACAATGGACCTGACATTAGGGCCCCAATGTGCAGAGCTCAGAGAACATGGGGGGGATGTGGACATCAAAGAGGTCCCTGCCTAGGAGGTCACCATTAAATCCAGTCACTTCAGAAATAACCCGGGGAGTCACATCCATAGCATGAATATGGACCTTAAGAGATCAAAACCTCCATGATCCAGGAAGAGCCCCACACCAGTCTATTACAGCAGATGCAGGAGAATGACACTCAGAACCTGTCTTGGGAAGGTTGAGCACCAGACGCTGACAGTGTCCCAGAGCCAGTCTCCAGGATGCCTTCTTGCTGTGCTCCTTCAAGACTGTGACGTGCTTCTTGAATTACACCAAGCTGATGTGTTCAGTGCAACAGACCCTTTGCCTTCCTCAGGATCAACCAACGTCCAGAGGGCGACCAGTGGAGACAGGCCAGCTTCTCAGGGGATCGATGACTTCTCATCCAAAGGAGACAGAAGCCAGGGGCGGCTTGAGCCCCAGTGCCTGTGGTAGCAGAAAAGGAGCCGAGGTCAGACATGTGCCCCTACTCATGAGGGGATAAGTTGCAAGAGGTCCAAACACAGACAACAAAATGAAAAAAAAAATTGCAGGACAGAAACCTTCTAAAGCAGTGAGATGAGTCATTCTTCACTGGGAAAGAATCAGAGTCCCCAGCAAGCAAGCCCTTCCATCTCCTGCAGATGAAAGGCAGACACCTCAAGAACATCAGGAAAAAAAAGAAGAAATTTTCTTCAGTGGATTTTCCTTCGCCAAAACAAAGGTCCAGAAAATGCCCAGCAATATCATAAGCATCAAACCACCACTGCCTAGAGCAGAGACCAGTGAGAAGCAGCTGCTTTATGGGTGACAGGGACATTGATGCTCAGGCACTCATCAGGCTTCTTGGGCATATCCTAGAGGGGAAAATGGCCCTTCACCAAGGTCATCCTGATTCTGGCAAAGGGAGACTCCAGGACACAGGGGGTGGACATTCTCACTACCACATGTTTCTGTTGTTTCAAGAGCAAAGGAGAATTATGAGTAACAGCCCCTAAGGTTACCGAGTCAGATCTCAAGGCCAGAGTACTTGTAACAAATGGGAAGACCCAGAAAAAGAGTCTTGCCACTGAGGCAGTCCAGGCCTCCAGTCAGAACCTTCCAGACAGGTCTAGGGTCCTATGGGACTCAGGCCACCACCCTCAGTGTTCATGGCACTATCTTCTTCATAATCACGCTTCTCCCACCTTTCCTTGGAGGACCACTTCCCTTTTCAGCCTGCAGAAACTATGATTTGGGCCTCCCTGGTGGCACAGCGGTTGAGCGCTGGGTTGCGAAGCTGCCCGCAGCCTCTGCCCGCTACTCCCCTCAGCAGTGTACTTCGGTCCTTCTGCCTGCTCTGCTCCCCGCTCTGGCTCTGGTGAATTCTCTCACCCTCCCACGCTTCTGACTGTACCCAGTGCTTGTATAAATAAATAAATCAATCTAAAAAAAAATTTAAAAAAAAAGAAACTATGATTTTTTGTCATGTGAGCATATCTTCTAATATCAATGTCATTTTTCTGTCACATAATTGATTTTCAAAGGAAATTTTTTTCTCATGTTAAGTGGTAGTGTCTTCTGTTACTGGGGAGGGGAAGTAGTTACGGTTCACTCTTCTGGTGGCTTGCGCTGACATCAAGACAGAACTTGCCAGGATGAGCAAGACTTCTTAAGAAACACGCCAGAGAATGTGTCCTCCATGTTTTCCTTCTTTCTGCTTGAACTAGTGCTGCTGTATGGGAGGAGTATGCAGAAGTTGAAATTCCTCATACCTCAACAGCTGTGGGAGATGTTTTCTCTGTGTCAGCAAATGTGACATCTCTGACCCATATCTCTGTGGAAATAGATGACACCTGAATGGGGTCCCTTCTCTCCTGATGAAATGGACAGAGGTTATGAGCGTGGGTGTAATGGGAGTGATGAGAGGTGCTGAGGACCGTGTCCATCTGCCCCAGAGGAGAGACAGGCCCTCCTGGTCAATGGAGCAGAGGTGAGACTATGTACAGTCCCCAGAAGACTGTGGAAAACTGTGAACAGAGTGGGAGGCAGTGGAAGGAAGCAAGGTTGCTCAGGTTTGCCAGGAAGTAGTCCAATGACCCAATCTGGGTATCTCACTGCATTCTACTAGCAAAGTGTGGTGGAGACATTAAGTGACCAGCAACTCCACATGGCCCCCTATAGTCACCACACAGGTATCCACCAGCATCCAGAGCAGACTTGCCAACTGCAGCTCCTCAGAGAAGGTTAAGTTCCCCAAGAAACAAAGCCCTCAAACAGGGAAGCTTGATGACCCTCTCAAAGGATCTCGAAAAAGGCGGAATGGGACTTTGCAACTCATAGGGACTCTCAGCCTCCTGGTTTTCACTTGCAACCAAGGACAGATCCCAGGCAACCAGGTGAGAATTCTGAAGTTGAGAAACTTGCTTGATCTGAATTCATCCCACCACGAGGGTAGTTTCTTGTTTGTGTCTTCTTTTATTTTATTTAACAGGTTTAAATACATTTCAATATGCAATTCCATTTCTTCCTTCATTAAGTTTATTCCCAGGCATTTCATTTGTTTTGTTGTGAATGTAAATGCAACTGCATTCCTTATTTCCCTTTCCTCTGATACATTTTTTGCTTACTGAAATACAACTGATTTTTGTTTGGTTTTGTATCCTGCAACTTTAATATACTCATTCATCTGAAAATCTTGTGTAGAGCTTTTTTTCCAAAGTATATTAGCATATCTTGAATTTTGAAAGTTACACTTCTTTTCCTATATGGTTCTCTTTATGTCTTTTTCTTGTCTATTATTTCAGCTAGAACTTCCAAACCCTTGAATAACAAGGATTCTAGTGGACACCCTCTTTATCCTATCTTGGTGGCAATGGATTTTATTTAATGACCACGAGGACAATTCATCACTGTGTGAAAACTGTTATCAGTAGTTGTGCACCAAACAGAGATTCACCCAAATTTATAAAGCAACATGAATAGATCTAAACAACACATTGACAGTAACACAATACAGAGCATCTCAACCTACCAATTCACACCAATGACTTCATAACCAAGACAGAAAATGAACAAAGGAACAACAGCCTTCATCAAGTAATGGATCTGATGCACATAACAGACATGTACAGTTTTCATTCCAAAAAAAATGGAACACATATACTTCTCAAGTGCACACGGGACATTCTCAGGGATTGATCATATGTTTGGACACAAAATTTATCTCACAAACATATGGAACTTAAACTTACATCATGGGGCCTCCCCGGTGGCGCAGCGGTTTAGCGTTGGGTTGCAAAGATGCCCACAGCCTCAGCAGCACCGGTTCAATCCCCGGCCACTGGATGAGGGTCCCACATGGCGCGCAGACCTCTCCTGCCACCCGCTGCTCCCCTCAGCAGTGTACTTTGTACTTCGTCAGTCTGCTTGCTTTGCTCTCCACTCTGACTCTGGTGAATTCTCTCACCCTCCCACGCTTCTGACTGTACCCAGTGCTTGTATAAATAAATAAATAAATCTTAAAAAAAAAAAAACTTACATCATGTATCCTTTTGATCACACAAGGATAAAGAACCACAATAGGAAACAACTACTTAGTGAAATATGGAAATACCCAAACATGGAGGGGTAAAACAAAATGCTTTTGAGTAATGTTTGGGTCAATGATGAAATCAAAGAACTTAACAATTATTTTGAGACCAATGAATATGGAAAAACAAGTTCTAGGTCCTCCTAATCAATAAAAAACATCTCGAATAAAAAACTTCATTTGAGGTCCTCCCCAGTGGCACACCGATTGAGCGCTGGGTTGCGAAGCTGCCCGCAGCCTCTGCAGCACCGGTTCGACGCCCGGCCGGCCGCCCAGTGAGGGTTCCACATGGCCCACAGACCTCTCCTGCCACCCACTGCTCCCCTCTGGTGAATTCTCTCACCCTCCCACGCTTCTGACTGTATCCAGTGCTTGTACAAATTAATGAATAAATCTTTAAAAAAATAAAAGTTAAATAAAAAAATGAAAAAAACAAACAAACAACAACAACAACAACAACAAAAAGCCCTCAGTTGATGAAGGAACTAGGATGACAATCAAATGAAAGTAAAAATCAGTGGAAATGAGTAAATAACAAAAATTAGAGCAGAATTAAATGAGATAGAAACCAAAATAGTATTGCAAATTATCTATGAAATGAAAAACTGGTACTTTGAAAGTATAAGCAAAATGATTAAACTCTTGATACACTATAAAACAAGAGTATAAACCAAATAAAAGAATAAGATAGGAAAGAGGGCAAACAATAACACAAAGTATCTTAAGAGGTAATTCGAAATTGCCCATGCAAGCAAATTGGATCGATGTTTAGAAAAACAACTTTCAAAACTCAACTAAAATAAAACACAGCTTGAAAAGAATATGTGCAAGCCAAGAAATCAAAGAGTAATCAAAAGTCTCCTCAAGAATAAAAGCCCATTAGAGAGGGCATCACTTGATAAGTCTCTCAATCTCTTAAAGAAAACCCAATACATACCCTCAAACTCTTCTAAAAGAATTGAAGAGTGAGTTATATGCCATATTATAAGACCAAAATTAGCTTAATCTCACAACCAAACAAGGTTAGTGCAAGAAAGGTAGACTGTGGAACAACATCTCTCATAAACACAGATGCAAAAATACACAAGAAAATCTTGGGAGATCAAATTCAGCAATATAATGTATATAAATTGTATAAAATACATAAACTTAATATATGTAGTAAGAGATTCATCCACCATACCAAGCAGGTTTAACTCCTGAGATGTGAAGTTGTTTGAAAATACACCAATCAATGCCATTCATCACCACAACAAAAAGAGAGATAAAAATCATATGGTCAAGATTCCACACCCACTTATGATAACAACTTTCAATATGTTGGGGATAACAGGAGCATATCTCATCAAAGTCCATACAGACAAATCCACAGATAACATCAGATCAATGGTGAAAAACTGAAAGGGTAGCCCCTCAGATCAGGAGCAGGACAAAGATGTTCACTCTCATCCCTGCTGCTCACCAAAGTATTGGCCGTCCTAGCCAGAGCAACTAGGCAAGAGAAAGACACAAAAGGAATACAAATTGCGAAAGAATAGAAACTATCACTATTTACAGATGACATGATGATATCCATAGAAAATTCAGACTCCACCAAGAGGTATTGGAAATAGTGCAGTAACATTAATGTACTATTTTCCATATGGAGTAACATTGATGTGCTATTTTTTTATGTGCAAGCTATTTTCTACATGCACTTTTCATATATGCAAACATTAATGTGCTATTTTTTAATATTCTATATAGAGAATAGGGAAATGAAAAAAATAATCCCATTTCCAATCCTCATCTGTTTCTACCAGTGCCTGCATGGGAGACCCCACAGCCCAGAGGAGCCCAAAGTAGGTGCCAAGCACACTGTGCACTTGCTACTGTGAGACAGATGTCAGCGTCTACTCAGTATCCTCAGGTATTCAAGGACAACAGATCTGTGAAAGCAAAAAGAGAGCTGCCTCCACACCGCTATGTGTTAAGCTTTAAAAACTGTCAACAGATTTTTATGTTCCAAACTTTTCAAGTAAGGGCAGGTGACAACTGACATTTGCTCTATGTCTGCTGACACAGAATTATTATAAAATTATGTTCAGATATTATGCTTGCAGATGCATATATGTGAGGATCAATATTTTTAAAACTAAAATATTAGGAATGATCAGCACATTAAATAACTGGGTTACATATCTGCTTCAAGGCAAATAATCTTCTCAAAAGATTCTGAAATACCAAGGAGAAAAACAGAGATGGCACAGTCTTATGGCACTGCTGCCAGAAGAGTCCTACGGTATGCTCATTACACATGGTATTTATTTTTAAAATGGTGGTGGCAAAGAACTGATGGTCCAATTTAGGGCATCCCCAATCAGGGTTCAAGTATCCATTGGCATATAAAAGAAACCAGTAAGACATCCCTTTACTTGGCTCTACCCAGATTTCCAAAACTTAACTGCCCTAAGATCCATCTGCTGCAGGTGCCCTAGGGGCCCCTCTTAACCACCTCATCACTGATATTAACATAAGGACAGCAGCTGCCAGTCAGTGAAACCAGGGAAGCAACTGCCAAGTTTCTCTGGAATTCTGCTCCTCTCCCACTTTCTCCTGTGAATGCTCCAGGAGCAACAAGAAACCCAGTGCTCCATCTTTGCACCCAGTCTATGTTGCCTTGGCAGCCAAAGTTTTACAAGTTTGATTTGGAAAACGTCCCTCCCAGTCGCCATCTCCTAAGCATTCTGGCCCTGGTCATAGGGGCTGGACTATAAACAACCCAATGGGCAGAAGCAACTCTGCAGTCAAACCTGCTCTTCCCCTCTCTCCCAGGCTACAGTGACTAGTGCTCCCAGAGTGAGTGGAAGGAAAGTGACCCCTGTTAAGACACTCCACCTTCACAGTTCCTATGCCAATCAATGCCATCACCATCACAACAAAAAGAGGGCCTGAGCTGCATCTCTCACCATACAGGACACATCAGCATCCCATTAGGGGTGGGGGAAGGGACAAGGTTTTCCAACTCTGAATTTTCTTTATGAAGCCCGAAGGGAAAATATCATTTGGGCTTCAGAAACAGCTGTGCTTGACCCCAAGCAACTCAGGGAATCCTGCATGTGGCTAATCAGAATCCAGCAGTCTCCATGCTTTTGTGAGAATGCTTTTCACACCTAGCAGTAGGTAGAGGCCAGTAATAAGCTTTATCTCTGGGTACTGACTTAATCCCTGGCTTCCCCTATTTTACCTTCCCTGATAATTCAGTCCCTTGAGATTACACAAAATATTTTAGCTTATATATTTAAGACACCACATGCTATTTTTGAAAGATATAGAAAACATAATCATACACTGAATAATAATTTTTAGAAATATTTCAATTTTTAATTTCTTACCTATATTTAACCTTTATTTTGCATAGAAGAACTGGGGTGTAGACCAGAGGTGCGGGGTGGGGAGGCGCTGGTGAGAAGATTCACCAGAGACAAGGTCGGAAGCAGAACAGATTTGCCAAAATATACTTGCAAGGGGAGCCTCGGGTGAGACAGAGAGGTCTGTGACCATACGTTGTTTAGCTCCCTGTCCGGGCATGGAAATCAAGCCATATCAGTGATAGTGCTGAGACTGAACCACTCACTGGGCCACCAGTGAGGACCCAATTTCTCACCTGGACTGTAAGGTCTGATGGCTCCTGTAACTTGTTAGTTTTAGAGAAGTTTGATTATCCAGAGTATTTAAAAAATCTTCCAAAATAAGACGGGTAAGCAGGAGCCTAAAGTGAGTTTGAAAGAAAAACCAAGAAATGAAATCAACATTCTGAATATCTGAATATAAAATGTAATGACCTGCAACAATGCCTCCCAGGACCTTTAACCTATTTATGAATTCTTAACCTTTCTTTGAAGGACTATAGTTTTTGCTCATTCCTTTTTTCCATTTCTAAGAGTAAATTTATCCTACACATGAAGAATCTCCAGTAAGGCAGTTTAAAAATCCTTAGTAATTTTTTTTTTAATCTGGTGAATAATTGGTTAGACAACAGCAACTATCAGATCGTTTATGTAACTTCAATAAATGTGTATTGGTGGGAAATAGCTGTAAATAACATTTCACAGCTTCACAAGCCTTCTACTACCCCAATCTACCATGATGATGTGCATAGCTGTAAAGCAGTTCCCACAACGCTTGAAGACTTTTGCACATCATACTGTATTTTCTATATCCCTGACAAGTCACTTGAAATCCTTCATGGAACATGGTAGAGAAAAGTGCTCAAAAGTACAGCAGATTTCTTTCCTACCAGAGTTCCCCAAAAGTATGGAGTGTTTGCCTGCCAACAGGCATAAGGTAACTTAATGAAAATAACCATGTTAGATCTTCTCAGCCGAACATTTGCAGGATAAAGACCAGGCTGACTTTTGTTTTATATTTTGTATAACTAACCACACTGAGTGTATGTGGAAGCTTCCAGATATCAACTAACTCAGACAGCTGATTAACAGGGTGATGTAGAGGAAGAGTTTATTATTGCCAATTATTTAAAAGATGTATTTAGAAACATAAATATGAATTTTTAAACATTAGAAAGTGATGATGTTTTACCAGTTTGTTTTTTTATTCAATGATGTCATTTTACTTATTTTTATACCTGCTAGTTAAGTACAGTATGACAAAGGACAGAACTTTAATATCTTTTTTTCTTTTTTTTTAAATAATAAATTTTATTTTTATATTCCCCATACAATTTCAACCTCCCATTCTGAACCCAATCCCTCCCCTCCCACCCCCCACCCCCCAAAAAGTGTCTCTGGTTCATAGTTTTTTGTTGATTTTGATTTTCAATTTCTTATAGTTATTCATTTTCCTGGTCCCTTATTTAAGTTTTCTAGATTCCTGCTATGAGTGAGAACATCCGGTATTTTTCTTTTTCTTTCTGGCTTACTTCGCTGAGCAAGATCCCTTCCAGCGCCATCCATGTTGCTGCAAATTGCATGTGTTTATCTTTTTTGAATGCTGAGTAATATTCCATGGTGTATATGTACCACATCTTCTTGATCCAGTCATCTATTTTTGGGCATTAAACAGCTGGGACTACATCAAATTAAAGAGCTTCTGCACAGCAAAAGAGACAATAACAAAAACAAAGAGAAACCCCACCAACTGGGGGAACATTTTTGCACACAACACTAATGATAAAGGACTGATCACAAAAATCTGCAAAGAGCCGATGAGACTCAACAACAACAAAGAAAATAATCCAGTCAAAAAATGGGCAGAAGAGCTAAAAAGAAACTTCTCTGAAGAGGAAATGCAAATGGCCAACAGGCATATGAAAAAATGTTCACCATCACTTGTAATCAGGGAAATGCAAATCAAAACTACCATGAGATCCCATCTTACACCAGTGAGAATGGCACATATTAAAAAAACTAGCAACAACAAATGTTGGCGAGGGTGTGGAGAAAAAGGAACTCTTCTGCACTGCTGGTGGGAGTGCAAACTGGTCCAACCACTATGGAGAGCTGTGTGGAGATTTCTGGACCTACTAAACATAGAGTTTCCATATGATCCAGCAATTCCACTCCTAGGTATTTACCCAAAGGACACAGAAACTAATTCCAAAGAATATCTGCACCCCTATGTTTATAGCAGCACTGTTTACAATAGAACTTTAATTCCTTTACAGTAAAAGCTGTCAAGATTCCCCTCTATTTCTTACTTCCTTTACTTCCATTTTAAAATGTTTCATTATACCTTAAATTGTAATATATAGTTGTTGAATTATCAAACACATAATGTACAAAATATCTAAGATTATAGCAAACGTGAGAACAGTCTCTCCACACACACTTCTTTCACAGACCTCCTAAGACTACAGTTTATATCCTAAGAGTTCTGTGAGGAACTCGGCAAAGCTTTCATCTGTGTTAACAAAAATGGAAATAAAGTTGATTCACTGTAGTCTAAAAAAAATTGGTAATGTTTAACAAGGAAACTGCTGACAAATCTGTATGTAAACTTTCAAGGCAATGCACTAATAAGTTTAAACCACATATATATTAATTATATAGACACATTTCTTTCCTTTTTGGGTATACAACATGAGTACTCAAATTATAAACACAAGGTGAATAAGGAAGACACCATAAATCTCTTTAAAATGACTTACAATATGCTGACCCCTCCTAAATATAATTTATTTTAAAAATGAGGAGTCTGGTCTAAATATCATTTTGGTACACTCAATAATTACACCGCAGTGCGCAAACATCCATTGCACAAAACATTACCCTAAAAGTTAAGATGCTGTCTAATGAAATAACAAAAATCACAACTGTCACTTCTGTTCCCCCTGGGAAATATTACAAATACAAGAACGTTTCTCAAGTCTCCCTCATGGTCATTTTTAAGGTATGAGAAGTCACATAATCAAATGTACTCTTCAGAGAGGCAACGAGTGACAATAGAAACTGTTACTTTCCAAAGAAGACTTCAATTTGAGTAGCTCTTGTCTTAGTCACTACAATTACCCTAAGACTGGAAGTGCACCGCACATTTGTTTCCCACACCAGTTTTCAAGAAGACCTAATGCATCTGGCATTGGAAGACACCATTCTCACGCCAGCCACAAACAGCAATTTTTAATTTGTAAAAAGCTATTGAAAGAAAACAGAAATTCACTTGCAATTTAAGTAAGCTCTATCTGCATGCGGTGTTCTGCCTGTTCTCTTCACCATCCCTACTATCTAACCTGTGCTCTCCAGTACCATGACCACCAGTTATCAAGTGGTCTGTTTAGGTAAACATGAAATTGAGTTTATTTAATTTAGACTTGTGTCATTCCAAGTGTCTGATAGTCACATATGATTAGTGGGTAGAGTACTGATCAGAGAAAATGCAGACACTTAGATTAGGACAGGGAAGCACAGCCAGCAGTCAAATGATGAACATTCCTGAAGACTGACACTTGACTGCACAACATCTTACATATCTGAAATAGAGAGCTTTTCAAAAAAAACCTCCTACCTCCTCTTCCTAAAAAATCTCAAACAGTCGTACCTCTACAATTTAGAAAATGGGTCCTACAGAGAAGAATGCCAATTTCATAGTCCTTACATCCTAAACCATTACCACACCTGAGAAGAGGCAAACTGCAGCGTAGTGTAACTCTTTCCCCTATTACCTCCCGCACAGACCCATGGACCAGAGTCCCTAGAAAGTCCCTGGACTGACCTGTCCCGTCTATTCCCACCACCGTTTGACCTTCAGCTCCAACTCTGGAGTCCGATGACCAAGCTCCTTCCCCTGCGCCCTCCCAGGGTCCCTCCCCGCGCCCAGACAGCACCCGGGGGCTCAGCTCCCCAGAGCTCAAACTGCCGCCCTAGGGTCTGGCTCCTGCCCCGCCCCCTACACTGGGCCACTGGGACCGTTGAAAGGGGCGGGGGGGCAGAGCCTCCCAGAGAAGGTCGCCAAGGGTGGGCAGAAGCCTGCCCCGCCCCAGCCTCAAACCCTCACAGCCCATCCCACCTTCCCAGCGCTGGGAGTTTACTCAGACCCACCAGCTCACCTCTTAGTGCTGGCCCCATCCCCAGGAGCACCAGATACCCCGCCGCCTTAGCTAAAATCTTAGGAGTATCAGTGCGATTCATGCAATAAGGTCTGTCCCAGCGCAACACAACCTCCTGAGGCCTGGGCTGGTGTTCTTACTGTTTTAAATTCCTCGTTGTTCCTGTAACTTATTTTTGAATGAATGAAAAACTAAAGGAATGTTCACATAAACGGAATTTTTATGAGATGAGATTGTGTGCGTGTGCATAAAAGTGAATGTAAATGTTTTGAAAAAAGTCTAGAAATACACCGAGTTTTACATGTTCATGTCCAATGGGAAGGGAAGTGTAAACAGGGATGTGGGTAAAAACAGACTTTTTTATATTTTCTCTCTCTGTTCAACTATCCTTGACTCTATTACAAAACGAATGCATTCAGATATTATTTATGCAACAGACACATAACCAGACTTCTCATTTCTGGCCCAGCATGTGAGGAGCTTAGAAGTCACTCTTCCAGCATAACGACAAGCTGAACGAAATGAGACATCAGCCACTCTCCTTGGGTCCATCAGGTAAGTGAGGTCACAGGACAAACCACTGCCCGAAACTTGGGACAGACAGGCCTCTGGAGAGAATCCCAGCTACTAGAACAGAAACTCATGAGCAGTGCCAGGGCAGAAAGCCTATCACTGATGAATTACAGGACGTGCAGCGTGGTTGAGCGTGAAGGTCAAAAACTCCAGCACACAGAGTCACTGGGCACCCCTGTTTTTTGTGAATATCATCTCCATGGACTCCACCAGGACTTCACAGTAAAGATTGGAGAATAGTTCCCTGTGCTTCTGGCAGTGGGGGTAGAAAAAGAACTGACTTTGAAATACCAGGGTACTCTGATCTTCTTATCAAAACCTACAATCAATGGAAACTAGTTGACCAGAGCTTCACCTGCTAGAGGTAACCGAACCTAACCCAGCTGGGGAAGTGAACTATTCATCTCTACCACGTATGGCCATCCTGCCCACCTGAGGGTGGGGGCTGAGCAGCACTGGTAAAGTTCACAGTGCACAGTCTCAGGCTCACAGGAATATGGATGCCTCCCCTCTCCCACACCTCACCACGACATTACCAAGGGCTTCTTTCCTATGTGTCCTGTCTGCCTACCGAGCCTAAAGGCCCTTTACCCTGTGTGTCCTGTCTGCCTACCGAGCAAAACTACCTACCAAGAGAAAAGACTTACCAGAAGACAACATAACATATCTTAATGAGACAGTGTAATCATCAGCACCAGGCTCAGATTTGTCAGAAATGTTAGAGTTATGAAATCCTGGAATTTAAAGCAACTAAAAGTAATATGCTGAGAAATTAATGGAAAAAATGGAAAATATGCAAGCACAGCTGGGCTTTGTAAACAGAGAAATGGAAATTCTCACAATCAAAGGGAAATGCCAGTGTGCTCCTATCCATGCAGGCTGTGTTCGCTCTACCCAGTGGATTCCATATGTGTGCTATGAGCAGCAAAGGTCTATTTACATAGGGACAAAAAAATGCATGACATGCAATAAGTTTCTCATAAACCAGAATTGGTCTGTTAGAAAGGTCTGTCCTCATGGCCTCTGTGGTGGGGTAAAGGGTTAAGTCTCAGCACAATGAAGCTATGGGCAGCCACTGAAGCAGGAGTTCGATCCCTGGCCAGGGAGCTAACCCACATGGCACAGAAGAACTCTCCTGTCTCGCCCACTGCTCCCCTCAACAGTGTATTTCAGTCAACATATGGGTTCGGCTCCCCACTCTGTCTCTGGTGAATCCCCTCATCACCCACACCTCTGGCCAATACCCCAGTTCATGGATACAAAGAGACCCCAATGGTCACTACATTATGATCAAGGGGAAATACTTCAAGAAGAAATAACACTCATTAACATATACTCACCAAACGAAGGAGCACCAAAATATATCAGACAACTGTTGTCCTCTCTGAAAACAGACATCAGAGAAAAAACATACATAGTGGGAGACTTCAACACACCACTATCAACAATGGATACATCAACAAGACAAAAAATAAGTAAAGAAACTAAAGCTCTAAATAAGGACCTAGAGCATTTGGGCTTAACAGACATCTATAGAACACTAAACCCAAAAAAAACACAGTACACATTTTTCTCAAGTGCACACTGATCATTCTCCAGGATCGATCACATACTGGGGCACAAGGCAAACATCAACAGATACACCAAGATTGAAATCATACCAGCCATCTTTTCTGACCATGAAGGCATCAAACTAGAAATAAACCATAAAAAGAAGGCAAGGAACTTTCGTACCTCATGGAGATTAAAAACCACACTACTGGACTAATAAGGAGATCAAAGAAGAAATTAAAAAATTCTTTGAATTGAATGACAAGGACGACACCAATATCCTAAATGTATGGGATGCAGCAAAAGCAGTAATAAGAGGAAAATATATAGCAATAGAAGCTCACATCAAGAAACAAGAAAGAACTCAAAGAAACAACCTAATCTCGAAGCTCAAAGATATAGAAAAAGAACAACAAAAAAACCCCAAAACCAGTAGAACAAAAGAAATAATAAAAACCAAAGCAGAAATAAATGAAATTGAAACTAAAAAAACAATCCAAAAGATCAATGAAACCAAGAGCTGGTTTTTTGAAAAAATAAATAAAATAGACAAACCCCTAGCCAGGCTCACAAAGGAAAAAAGGGAGAAAGCACAAATAAACAGGATCACAAATGAAAGAGGAGAAATCACAACGGACACAGCAGAAATCAAAAGAATAATCAGTAACTACTATGAACAGTTATATGGAAACAAGTTCAACAATCTAGAGGAGATGGACAAATTCCTACAACTCTACAATCACTAAAAGCTAGATAAAGAAGAAATAGAACACCTAAACAGACCAATTACAAGCAGCAAAATTGAAATGGTAATCAAAAACCTCCCCAAAAACAAAAGCCCAGGACCTGATGGATTTACAAATGAATTCTACCAAACATTCAGAGACGAATTAGTGCCTATCCTTCACAAACTCTTCCAAAAAATTGAGAAGGAAGGGACAATACCAAACACGTTCTATGAAGCCAACATTACACTAATACCAAAACCGAACAAGGACAACACAAAAAAGGAAAACTACAGGCCAATCTCCCTAATGAACACTAATGCAAAAATCCTCAATAAAATTTTAGCTATCAGAATCCAACAATGTATCTATAAGATAATTCACCACGACCAAGTAGGATTCATTCCAGGGACACAAGGATGATTTAACATCCGAAAATCAATCAACGTTATCCAACACATCAACAAAAAGAAATACAGAAACCATATTATAATATCAATAGATGCTGAGATAGCTTTTGACAAAGTGCAACACCCATTCATGATAAAAGCCCTTGAAATTCTTGGGATACAAGGAACATACCTCAACATCATAAAGGCCATCTATGACAAGCCAACAGCCAGTATCATTCTCAATGGTGAAAAGCTGAAAGCAATTCCATTAAGATCTGGAACAAGACAAGGATGTCCACTCTTACCACTGCTTTTCAATATAATACTGGAAGTCCTAGCCAGAGCAATAAGACAAGAGAAAGACATCCAAGGAATCCAAATAGGAAAAGAAGAAGTCAAACTATCACTATTTGCAGATGATATGATAATATACATAGAGAACCCCAAAAACTCCACAGAAAAACTAACTCAACTAATCAATCAGTTCAGTAAAGTGGCAGGATACAAAATCAACACGCAAAAGTCAGTAGCCTTCCTATACACAAACAATAAATCTGAAGAAGATGAAATTAAAAAAAAAATCCCTTTTATTATTGAAACAAAAAAAATCAAATATTTGGGAATAAATCTAACAAAAGAGGTAAAGGACCTATACAAAGAAAACTATAAAACACTGTTAAAAGAAATAGAAGAAGACAAAAAGAAATGGAAAGACATCCCCTGCTCATGGATTGGAAGAATAAACATTATTAAAATGGCCATCTTACCAAAAGCAATATACAGTTTCAATGCTATTCCAATCAAAATTTCAATGTTATTCTTCAAAGAAATAGAACAATTATTGATGAAATTCATATGGAATCACAAAAAACCCCGAATAGCCAAAGCTCTCCTAAAAAAAAAAAAAGAGAATGGAGGCATCATACTCCCAGACTTCAAACTATACTACAAAGCCATAATCATCAAAACTGCATGGTATTGGAACAAGAACAGACATACAGACCAATGGAATCAAATAGAAAATCCAGAAATAAACCCACAGATTTATGGTCAACTAATCTTTGACAAAGGAGCAAAGACTATGCATTGGAGCAAAGAAAGTTTGTTCAATAAATGGTGCTGGGAAAACTGGGTTGCTACATGCAAAAGAATGAAGCTTGACCACTACCTCACACCATACACAAAAATCAACTCAAAATGGATTAAAGAACTAGACATAAGACCTGAAACCATAAAATACATAGAAGGAAATATAGGCGAAACACTACGTGATTTGCACATCAAAGACATCTTTACAGACACATCACCCAAAGCAGTGATAGTGAAGGCAAAGATAAACAGCTGGGACTACATCAAATTAAAGAGCTTCTGCACAGCAAAAGAGACAATAACAAAAACAAAGAGAAACCCCACCAACTGGGAGAACATTTTTGCACACAACTCTAATGATAAAGGACTGATCACAAAAATCTGCAAAGAGCTGATGAGACTCGACAACAGCAAAGAAAATAATCCAGTCAAAAAATGGGCAGAAGAGCTAAAAAGAAACTT